ACCATTTTTTATGAAAGAAAATCATCTCAATCCTTTAGCCCTTCATCAATTTTTTTTCCCATTTAATTTGATTATAAATTTGAGTAAAAATCTTGATTTGATATGAACTTCTCTAACACTTTCATCAAATATCATGACCGAGATTCGACCCTTTGATCAAATCGAGGGAGAATTAATATTTCATCATATTGAAAACTCATCACATCCTTTGTCAATTTTGAATTTGGTGAAAATTAAAAAAAAAAAAATTTAAAGCATTGAAGACGGATTTTTTTTCATCAAAAATCAAATTTTATGAAAAGGAAAATTTGGGATATGAGGATTTATTTATTTATAATTTTGATGAGAACAATGGAGTAACTCATATCAAATCAAACCTTTTTTTACTTAAAATTTGATGAAGAGTTGGTGATGCTCTTACCCACCTAATAGCTCAAGATTTCCATTTTCCAACATCACTGATGGCTCAAAATTTCCAACAAAACCCATTGAACCCAAAACACAAAACCCTAATCGTTTAAGGAAGGCACAACAATGTTCAGAGCTATGAAGCATAAGTAATTCGAAAAACATGTCGTACCCGTACCGGGTATTTACCAGCATATGGTATCTCGAATGGTACTTCTGCATACGTACTAGGTATACGAAACACGTACCCAAATTTTTTCTTGTTAATTTTTGGCGTACCTAGACATACCTAATATATACTCAAGTCGTACCGTACCTTAGTTAAAACAATATTTTCTTCTACTACAGAGATAAAACTGAAAAATCTAGAAATCCCCTAGATATTGATTTGTGATTATGTATCAATTTTAAGCAGTCTATAACAATCCTAATCAAACAATCAAGACAAATCAACATAACGATTTTAACGTGGAAAAACCACAATTGGAGCACCTCTAATTGTGATAAAAAATCACGAGCAACAACCACAAAACAATCCACTAAGAAGATATAAAGGAATTACACAGGTATACTCTCAATTACCTAGTGAATCCACGCCCGAATTGAACCAACCCCTATGTGCCTCTTCCAACCCTGTCTTCACCTTGGAATTGTCTTGACGACGAGCCACTCTAGAATCCACCAAAGCTTTAGGCTCAAATTTCCCAGAATCTACTGAAGAACAACTCTCTCTTTTGTGTAGAATAAACAAACAAACCTTTGATGTATGCTTCTTAAACCATAAGTTGAATACTCAATGAAACATCAAAGAAACTAGAAAAATAGCCCCAGATATAAACCCTAGAACCCAAGAAGAAGATCTGGAGGCCTAACCTTAGATTTGGACTGAAACACGTATTTATAGAAAACTGTCCTGCGATCTCCGCTCGATCGTCAGATTTGCCGCTCAAGCGGACCTACGCTGGAGTAGGAAAAGTTCCGCTCGAGCGGGAAAAAACAACATCCAGTATTTTTGCAGGAGAATAAACTTTTGGAACTCAGCATTCTCCGCTCGAGCGTGGGAATGTCCGCTCGAGCGGACAGGCAGCTCGATTCCCATCATAATCAGCGAAGTGGCAATCTTGAAAGAATTAACATCACAAAACTTCTCTGCAAGGCACAATTCGGGTTGGATTCGCATCTAAAAACTCATAGCCTTACTGAAATATAAAGTGTGAAAACAAATACAACTGAAAGGAGTTTTGTCAAACGAGATTGTCAAGAATAAAAACCTAACAAAAACTCTTTTCACTAGACTTTTTTTTTATTTTTTTGTTTTATAACATGATTTTAAAATTAAATTATGATTTGTAAGTTATTTAATATATTGACATTTAATTTTAATTTATATCTTTACTTTTAATATTAAATGTTAATTGTAAGTTGGACCTTAACAAATTAAACCATTTAATTAATTTTTGTATTACTCTAAATTAAAAGTAAATATTTTTTTCAAAGCATATCAACGTACTAATACCATACTCGTACCCGTATTGCGCTTCATAGGTTCAGAGGAAAAGAATGCAGGGGAGGAGACGATGACAACAAAATGGGGGGCTTTTGTCCATTTTCTTGGCTCAACCACTGATTGGTGGCTCGTAAAAGATGGTTTTTACGGATCATCCGTATAGAACTTAATCTCCAGACACAGATACAACACTACATATATGTATATGTAGAGAGAGAGAGAGAGGTACCAGAGTTGGCATTGTGAAGGGGAGGGATAGGATGGCATGATTTCCCTTCTTCCATGTTGTCTGTAGCCTCTCCACAGGATTTGGGAGAACACTTCATTGCTAAAGTCTACTGTATAGTCTCCACACCGAAGTCAAGCTTTTATAAAACCATTTGCTGAATGGGTGGGAAAAAAAAGCAAACTAAAAGGCAAACCCATTCATATGAAAAAAAAAAAAAGAAAAAGAAAAAAAGTTTGCACCACGTAGAAAGTGGGGTTAAACTTTTATTTGTTAGCGATACTGCTTAATCGATATTCTCGTTATACTGAATTTTTATTTTATTTTTAGGTAGTAGCAGTACCAAACACGGCAGAGCTGCAAGCTTAATTCCTAAGTAATAGTTTGTTGTTGTTATAGTTTGATGTTGTAATAGTTTGCTTTATAGTTATGGCTAGTGTCAGCTTTTGTTGGGCCAACAGTTTGCCCATTTCTTATGTTTGTTTGTCTTTTAGCATTGTATAGCTTGTAGGTGGAATGTAAATTTGGCCTGGCCCACCAAGGCTCAGGTTGGACCCGGCTCATGTCGGGTTTCATGGGCTTTTGTCAAAAATTTGGTCCATCCGAGCCAGTTCAAGAGCCAAAAAATTAGGCCCAGGCTTAGAGGTTTTTTTAAAATTTTTCTACTAAAATTTTATTATTTTTCACTAAAAAACACATTGGGCCTTGGGCTAGGCCTTGAGTGGGCCTTAAGCGGGCCGATGGGCTGGCACACTAGCCGAGCTGGGCTCAGGCCCAAGCCCAAATGGGCCTAAATGAGTCGGGCCCATCCCGGGCGGCGGGCGGGTTTCGGGCCCCCCGGGAGCCACAAGCCATTTTTACACTCCTACTTGTAGGTCATGTGGCATGCTCTTGTACTTTTGTATTTTTTTCTGTTTTATTTAATGTCTTATTCACCTAAAAAAAATAAAATTTCCTAAGTAATATTTTAATTTTATAATAATAAAATAAATTATAAACACATCTTTTAAAATTTATTTAAAATATATAGTTTATTATAGTTTTAGAAATTATAAATATTTTATTGTCAATTTTTTATTTAATAATTTGAATGATGTCAGAAATATATTTCAATTAACCAAACCAAACCAAACCAAACTAAATCAAACCTTAAGTCCCATCAAATGAGGTCGGCTACATGAATCTTTCTTCTCCACGAGACCCTATCAAAGGCCATTTCGTTAATCAAATTAAGTAGATCCATATCTCTATTTACAACGTTAACCAACGTTAATCTAGGCCTACCCCGTCCCCTAACACTTCCATCTACCGTTACAGTATCACATCTCTTCACTACTGCCTCTGTTGGTCTCCGTTGAATATGACCAAGCCATCTCAATCAATTCTCTCTCAACTTATCTTCTATCGGTGCTACTCCTACCCATTCCCGAATACACTCATTCCTAATTCTGTCTTGTCTAATCTTGCCATACACCGACCTTAATATTCTCATCTCAGCCACACTCATCTTATTTACATGTTGTTTCTTGGTTGCCCAACACTCCGTCCCATACAACATCGTTGGTCTAATAGATGTTCTATAGAACTTCCCTTTAAGTCTAGTGGGTATTCGTTTATCGCACAGTACCCCAGACACACTTCTCCACTTACACCATCCCACCTTAATCCTATGGGCCACATTCACATCAATCTCCTCCGCTGTTGTGATAATCGACCCTAAATAATAAAAATGTTCACTCTTAGGCAGTTCTTGGTTCTCAATCTTTACTTCTCCTCTGCTTTCATTGTTACTATTACTAAATTTATACTCCATGTACTCTGTCTTAGTTCTACTTATCTAGAATCCTTTAGATTCATGAGCTTTTCTCAAATCTCCAACTTTGTATTAACTCCTCTAGTCTCATCCACTAGCACTATATCGTTTGCAAAAAGCATACACCATGGCACGTCATCCTGGATATTTCTCATTAACCCATCCATAACTAAAGCAAAAAGATAAGGACTTAAGGTATTTCAATTAACAATTTTGATAATTTTACTATTGTATAAGAGAGTTGTTTTTTTTTTTTATTGTAAATTCTATTAAATAAAAAATTGGACTCTATTTCAGATCTAAAATTTTGTCTAGTTTGTAAATTTTGTCTGCTTACTAATAAGATGGGTGTTGTATCAAATTGTGAATTTTGTCTGGTTTGTATAGCACTACTCATTTTGGATGATTTTTTTTTTTTCATAATCATTATTATATAAAATTTTGGTAATAAAAAAGTAGTACAAACCAAACTAGCTTCCTCTATACATGTCATTCCTGGCAAAAAATAGCCTTCGAACCTCAAATTATCTACATGGGTGTGGGGTCAAAAGGCCCCTGCCTAAATGGATTCTCAATTATGAAAAAAAAAGGAAAATGAAAAAAGAAATAGCAACAAGATGAACATCCAGTGCCAAATTGCTTTCCTTCTCAGTCCACATTTGATTTTCCTTCAGTAATCTGTATCAATCATTTTAACACCTTAACTCTGCTTATGTAGCGATCCTTGACATACAAAGCATGTAAATTAGCTATTTTTGTTTCAAATTCAATATTAATTTTGGTGACAATATCAACATTTGCAAATGCTAATTATATATTTAATTGGATCTTTAGACTATCTCCATGAATTTAATTCAATCTAACATACTGCGAGGCAAGAATCACAAACAGTAAAAAAAAATGGGCGCATGATAAAAAGTTCTCACATTGCATAAAAGTTTCTATCTCATAAGTTTGTCCATGCACAAGATGATATCAACGGATTAAAATGACAAGGATACTACTAAAATGTTCTTATATTACTGGGATAAAAGCCTCGCGCATATTTACTTGGAGAAATTATTCACTGTGGATAAGACACTAACTTCAGCTTCAATAATCAAAGTATCCTTCACAAGGAATCCCTTAGAAGCATCATGGAGCTTAGTAAACGACAAGAACGAATGGTTACCCTAGCCAACAGATGTTGAAGCAGAGAAACATTTGGTGCCTGAAAGACAATTTTTTTTTAAGATTACAAAAAAGACCTATTTAAATGAAAAGTGGAGTCTCATAGATATGAATTCTTCGGAGTTTGGTCAAACGTAAATTCCACTTAAAATTTTGTGTTTGTTTCTTGTATTTGTGAAGGGAAAAGAAGAATAGAGGCATACTAATGTTGCCAGAGGCACCTAATTAAGATTTTCCGATGAACAAAAAGTAGTAGAACTGTAATGTCACCTGTAACTTCCACATGCTGGCCATAGATTCGGTTCCTTATGCGCAACTTGTATTTTGCATATGTTTTCCATTCAGAAGGAAAGCTTTTTGAATCATTTAACTCTAAATAGAGGGACAAACATTTGCCCTTTCATGTTGCCAGTCCTTTCGGATAGAGCCGTACCTTCCTGATTAATTTCGTTAGAGGAAGTCATAAAAAGCTGTTATTTTGATACATACATTGTAATTTGAAAGAAAAGAAAATTAAAACATAGTATATACCACTTCTGATTTCCAATAGTGAAGACATCAGAATAATGAATTTTGGAAACTAGAGATGAGAACTTATCAATCTTCCAAGTGTAAGTAATGTCGAGTCCTTTTTTCAATAAAGTTAGACACTCTCCTCTGCCAGTGCAATTCATAACAACTTCTGCTCCAAACAAGCACGTGTCTCTGATGAGGTATCCATTAGCAGCATCGTTGAAAGTACCAAATGGGAGTAATTGGGGAAAACCGAATTCAGTTTTCATCAAATGAAAGCATTTTACCTTCCCATTATGGTCATCTAAGCATTATTCACCCAAAAAAAACATCATCTAAGCATTGGAATAGAATCACAAAATTTTTAAGGAACCTTATATAAATTGAAATGAGATTGAATAGTTACTCAACAAACTACTTACCTTGGAAGGTCAAGTACTTGTCTTGAATATGATTATACACAAACCAACAGGTAAATTACTTGTCTCTGCAATTAGCAAGTAAAGAGAGATGTGTCCTTTCCCTTTTCTTTGTTTATCGCCACTTGGGTAGAGTGACAATTTCCTTAAATTTCAACACAAAAAAGACCAAAACAAGAATCAATTTATTTGTATCTTGAGATACAAAACAAATGCTTACAAATAAAGGATATAAAACTCAAACCATTTGTAGCCACTGGCTTCAAAAATGTCTGATTCATAATTCTTCATTCCAACATCTAAGAGTAATTGCGAGAGTAGTGAGAATGACTCAATCTTGAGAAGGTAGTGAGCTGGTGGTATATCTCTTAGTGATCTTGTTACTTCTGCAGAATGAAGAGATAAAAATGTGAAATTACTATGAAAGATCTAATTTGCTTTGCATATACAGATTCAATTCAACTCATCTTGACGGTCCAATGCTCTATTTATTATATAGCTATCTTTATGGAATTTTTTTTGCAACCATTAATGAACAGTCTTCCCTAGAACAAACAGTAAGCTAGGAGAAAATCTACCCACCAAGGATCAAACCATATTAGGGTTCGGTTTAGTTTGATTTAAGGGAAAATCTAGGACCAAATCGTTATTTATGATTTCATAAATTTTAGAACATAATCAAATCTTGAGATGCCCGTTAGTTATGTTTGAAACCACGTTTCTAATAACATAGCATCATTCATAATTTGTTCACAAAATATTGTTCAATACATCAAACATCAAGCAAAATAATTTTTTTTTCAAACATTAAACAATATGTCATCATTGATAACCTTCATCATTTTTCAAACAAGAAGCAATGATGTTAGGTAATAATATAAATAAGGGTTCTTAAAGTGTATGATATTAATAAGTTATTTATGTCTATATATCAAAATGGTACAGTTTTGAAAAATCTAGAAATCCGCTAGATATTGATTTGTGATTATGTATCAATTTAAAGCAATAAAACAATCCCAATCAAACAGTCAAGACAAATCGACACAACGATTTTAACGTGGAAAAACCACAAT